TCCGTCTGTTCAAGAGGGTATTCACCATATCGGTCCAATTTTTCTCCACCTTCATTTCTCTCTGAGATCCTTCCTTTCGGTCTCTTTGATGTATCACCTCTATGAACTTCACCCCGCCTCTGAGGTTCTGGACGAACATCTCGTAATCATCATCGCAGCTGTCTTTCAGGTTGCAGCCTTCGCTGGAAATGCGCGCTCCCTTTGAGCGCTTTTGTCGAATACCTTCAATGATTTTTTTAAGTTGTTGCTGCCATTTGCAGCGGAGGCTAGCCTGGCCCGAGCCAGTCTGTGGTCACTGCCGGTGTTAAATGATGGCACTACTGCTATGGCTCAGATGATACAGTCACTGCGTAGGGTGCGCGATTCATGTACACCTCCTGCTGGTATTTTTCTTGAACAAAGTGTGACCAATGCACAGGTGCATCCTTTGTGCCACTGTCATCAGCCGATCTCTCTCATTTCACTTTAAAAGGCCTTACTTACTGCTTACATACCACTGGCCCTTTCTCGTCCTCCGACCTTGGCATTGAAATCTCACATGATGAGGGTATCCGTGAACTTTGGAACAAATGGCTATGTTGCAGTTGTTGATACATCTGCTACAATTCCTCATCGTCGGTTGTAGTCGAGAAAGTATGAGATTGCATTACTTACACAGATACAATGGCTCACGGGTTTCAACAGTCTGTGCGATGGTCAGCAGAGAAAACTGCAGGTTTTACTCTGATGAAGTTCCGTAAAGTATGGAGGGAAAAGTTGCTGACAGCTCTTCACCATCATTAATTATCATTCCGATGTATTGTTTTGCTATCTGCATGATAACTTTTTAAATGATTTGATATTTTTTGTTTTGTTATTTTATTTCAGTTTTTTTATTCGTCTTCACCGGATTTTTAATTTTTCATGAAACTCCTGTACATCCTGGAATTAGTTCTGTAAAAGAATATTGCCTTTTAAGGTAACTGCGTTAAAAAATGGAGGAAACGTTCGACTCCACATTGGAATACTATCTACTGCTGATTCCTTCATGTTTTCCTGCTATCTCTTTCTTCGTATTCTTGGCCTGGCTGGGACTGCAGTTTTTTATCAACAACTAGCGTTTTCGATGTACATGATAAACGAGCGACCCCGTTCACCAGGCATTCGGTGAAGAAATGTTACATGACCTGACAGGTTTCCATTCCTTAATGTCCTTTCCCTGATTTATTGGAGTATTTTAGGGTTTGTGTTCAGTGGTGAAGTCGATCGATGAAGGATTGGAGGTCCACTCGGTGCTGATCTTCACAGCAGTGCAGTCAGTCATTGACCGGTGGTCAAACATGATGAGCACTGACCAGATCATTTCCGTAATTACTGTCATTATCGGTATCACATCTTTTGTTTTTGCTATGTATTTGTCGTATATTGGATTATTTTGTTCTTACATGGTGTTAAAACTATTTATGCTGGCGCAGCACAAAGTTCTGGTATCTAATTGTAGGATGATAGTTCACTACCAACATTTTGGCCTTTGTTTTGCGGGTCTTGCTAAGGATAGGACTGCTGTTCTTTGGTTGGTGTTGATTCCGTCGTCCGAAGGAGCTGGCTTGTTTAGAGCCGTAAACTTTACGGATTACTACTCAGTACTAGCTGAACAGTATTAACATTACCTTTAGCGATATCTTTAACTGTGGGCTGAAATATCTGTGGCAGTTTATCATCCTACAGAACAACTATTTTCGAAGTGTTTAAATAAACCGCAGTTTTGTGTTAAGCGTGTTTCATTCTTTCGCAGTTTTCAGACTCGCTATTTTTCGATTCCAAGGCAGGAGCAGCTGCTTTATGAATGATTTTTTTTTCAAAAATCTTGGCCCAACACCAAACGAGCAAGCTCCTGTGTTGTGGAGTTTAACGCGTAACAATCTTTATATGATCGAATCATTTTTTTGTTGGAGGATTCCTCCTGGCTTGTTCCTCCTGTGACTTTATCGGTAGAGTCTCAACCTGCTTACCTCTTGTTTATCGGGCTAATCTCTTGTTCAGATCGTTGACATCCTTTCATGTACAATAAAATATTTTTCAGCGATATTTATACATTACGTTTGTTAAATGTTCTCCACAAATTCAGTTTCGAAACCACGTCGCATAATCGACATAATAATTAAGCGATTGAATGCTAAGAGATGGTTCAAAGAAGCGTATACGTAGCTTTTCTTTAATCATGAACATCTGATAGGAATGCTGAAACTGCCCGCAAAGCAATTCGAAGCACGACGAATCAGGGATCAACTCATCTTTAGGATGGTCAGGAGAGGGGCTTGATAGATGCGCGCTGGACAAAGGAATGCTAAAGCAGATTACTTGTTTTAGGTTAGGGATTACGCTGAAACTTAATCTTAGTCTTAACTTTAGACTTTCCACATTAAAGTCAGAAGTGATGTTTCAGCATTTTGGGGTACGGTACAGTGAATAAATAGTTTGTAATGCACTTTACAGGCACCGAGTTCATATCCCATGCCCAGCGTTAAATCTTCTTATTTACATGCAAATTTTTTTCAACGAGGAATTTACCTTGCTGCGCTTCAGTGCAATCAGCCAAGGCAGGTATAGCAAGTTGAATTACGAATAATAGGAATAACATCTTTAGGTAAGTCACAGACGCGAAGACAACGCAGAAAATAGTCCCTAATTAAAGACTATTTTATGCGTTGTCTTCCCGTTTGTGACTTACCTAAAGATTTTATCACCTCCCGCATAAGGAAATCATGTACGATTTTCAGTAGGAATAACATGGTATTTTTGGCGTTGGTCATGTCACAACGTACGAAGCTTGCGATTATGCTGTCTTATGCGTGCGCCTTACGGCTAGTCCTCACCTTGACTCTCCTGATAAATGACTAAAAATGAGCAAAAGGTATGAATCGTAAAAAAATTTGAATTTAAGAACTGTGGTACGACTTCGTTTTGACAGGTCTGCCTTCTGTTACGTACGTCGTTATCCGCCACACAGCCTTCCAATAGTGTTATCATTGAAGCTCTCAGATCGGCAGATATTCTCAGTCTTCACTCAGTGTTCACGTACCCTTCGGAACAGTTTCTGTCAATGAAGAGAATGACTTAATGAAACGACAAATTAATGACTGCAATATTTTTTACGTTTAACTTAGATTTTATGTTGAAAAGATTTTATCCAGTTATTAAGAATTAATGCGAACAGTGGCCATGATTCGTATGCTTCGAGTTGTACTCATTTTATTTGGTTTTTTAGAAAATATATCAACTCCTCATTAACGATACTTCGTTAGCCGACCGTCTCATTAACTGAATGAATTACACTCTGCCTACACTCATTTTTATGTTAAATTGTTTATTTTATCCTATTGCTCTCACTAAACACTGAGACTGGTTTTGTGTAAGCAGTTTCATCGGTTCATGGGTTTTGCCATGAATTTTGTGCGTAGTTCCTTTAATACGGCATCCGTTTTTGTCATGTAGATCCGTGCCAAATGTATCATAACGCAGCATCTTTAAGTAATTTTAATTTTATGTAGGACTGAGCAATGGCGGCAACCGAAACGATTTTGAAAGACCCATCAACCATTAAGTTCTGTGTTTATGGATCACTATTCAGCAACTGAACAGGTGAATACTGATGAATCTGAAGACATTCCAGAGGCTCCCAGAACAAGCGTGGAATATACGCATGGAATCGTTAGCTCTTCTTGTTATTCTAGTAAAATTTTTTAATGAATTGAATTATGTTTAGGTTTTGCGTTCATACGTTGCAGGTACTGTAATGTCATAGAATCATTGCCTTCGTAAACAGCCCCCGAGACCGCTAAAAGCAAGATGGTGTTACGGTGATACCGTGTAAACTAGAGGATTGCACACATTGGTTTTCATCAGCGGAAGTAGTGAAGACCAACGTTTCCAGGTAAACCAAACTGTCGGTTAATAGTAATCCTAATTTTTCCAGATTAAGAAATGACAGCTGCGATGGTTTAAGCAAGTCTTTCGAATGCGTCCAGAAAGGAAACGAAAAAGCTACTTCCTGTTTGACTGACCAGTCGTAAGTCTCAAGAGATGCTAAAAATGACCTGGGCCAACTGTCTTGATGGACTCTGCTTTAGACTTGCGTTATTTTATGCTGAAGTCCAGGCGCTGACGTAGAAACTTCGGAGACGCTGACGTACTGTCCCTCCGCTACCTGAAAGGATAACCGGCCACCGAAACTAACTGACTAACTGGTAATGTTAATTTCGTTTGTACTATCCTTCAGAAATTTCGAGATGTTCTAGAATTGACTGCTGTCTAGCTAGTATCTGCCATGTGCTGAATTCAGAATTTTTGCAGTGATGGCAGAGAATGTCAAAAGCGTAAAATTGCAT